TTACAATGATACAACAAGAAAACTAGTTAGATGCAGCCGGAGCAAAAGCATGACGCCATGAGAGTGTGTTGATGTTTGTTTTACCAGGGCATGGTCATCTGAGCGAAAGCCACACGACTCTTCTGTCCTCCTGACAGACTCGCCACCGGCCGCGTGGCCAGTTCCCCCGTGATGCCATACCCACCCAGCTGATGCCGGTACTCCTCCTCTGTGTGACCTGACGCACAAAAACAGCAGATTAGCAGAAGTAGTTATTTACTTTTATTGCCATGTCAGCATCTATGGCTTCCTTAATATTGGACAGTTCATTCAAACAGAAACCACACGATTTATTATAAATACATTTTAGAGATACTATGCGTCAGTCGTGCATTTAACTTCCATAATGTGTCATATTAGAGAAACTGAATATTCAATATCAAGTATTGTAGGGTGAGTTGAATGACACTGTATTAGTTATTATTATTTTCTCCATCCAAAATAAGGTTAGAGATATTAAGAAATGTTTTGGGTCCAATACTAATTTCACGTCGACTTCAAAATGTGTCGGCCGCAGATGATGTGACATAAGCAACAAAGACCTAGAATAACCGGTCAGCATCACAGACACCGGCTCAGTGTGTGGCTGTGAATGATGTGACTAATATCTTCATTAATGAACAGGACTTGAGTTATCAGAAGTGTCTCTGTAGGGGTCGGCTATGCAATCCTGATGATTTCTGATGAGAATGTAAAGTGCCGATTTGAGGCAGTACCAGGAAATCTTTTGAGCAGCAGTTCTATTGAGCAGACATTCAGGTCCAGCTGATCCACGTGATGCTGACTGAAATAACCGATCTTCAAGTTTCTGTTTGAAAAGACAAAGACACAGAAGTAAGAGACAGACAGACAGACAGAGAGGGTCTAGCATCTTCAGCGTCAGAGTGAGGCTCACCTGTGAGCGTATCTGGTACCATTGACAGGCGTCAGCTCTCCCATCAGCAGCTTCAGTACGGTGGATTTACCAGCTCCATTCTCACCCACCTACAGCCAGACACATACAACCAATCAATGAGTGCTCTCTATAACCAAACAAACAAAAACAAAACAAAACAAACCAAAACAAAACCAACAAAAACAAAAAAAACAAACCAAACAAAA